TCTTTTAGTAGTTGGGGACAGAGGCCAGCTGCACTATGTCCTGATGCCAGCGGTTCAGCTAGAGGTGTTTTAGCTCCTTGGGCTCAACCACCAATGTAGAGCTCTCCCCCACTCTCACACGTGCAGGAACAACAGCAAGTTGGGGGCAGAGGACAGTGGCACTCTGTTCAGATGCCAGCAATTCAGTTGGAATGGTGGCTGCAACTTTGGTGGCCAATATTCGAGAGTCCTGCACCACCGTCTGTTGTAGACAGAGTCTAGCAACACTCTGCCCTGCTGCCAGCTCTTCCACTGAGGTTGCACTCTGCTGCTGGGAAAGTAGGCTGGCTACCTCTACCTGCTCTCGTTGTGTTGCAATCTGCTGCTGGAGAGTGTAGCCAACTACAACTACCTCCACTCCCTTGGTTGAGATCTGCTGCTGATGATGGAGGCTGACTGCCTGTACCTCCGCACGCTGGGTTCCCATCTCCCGCTGGGGAGGGAGGCTAATATCCTCTGAACTAAAGTCAATTAAATCTGTGTGCACATCCTCCCAGATCAGTTGCAACACCTCTGCCGAAGGGCTGCTGCAAACCTCTTTTCGCTGGAGACCTCCTCCCGTCGTCTTAGCCATCAGGAACTTGTGGTCTCTCTTGGCTTGTATATTGATGGTCACCTGGTTCCAGGTCACCTGGAAGGTCTTCATCTAAACATTAGAGCCATACCAGGCAAGTTTCTGCTGCACCATGAACAGAAACTCTGAGTAAGCGTCAGAGGATGCCATGCTTGCCTGCTCCAAGTCTGTGGGCACCTGTGCTTATGAATTGCCTCTGAAGAAAGCCAGTCCCTGTGACATGCCCCTTTGAAACTCCCTTCCCAACAAGGACAATGCACGAGTGCCTGCGCTATCCCTCTCCAGAAGATGCACAGGTATCCCAGGGACATTTTCCAAGTCGCTAGAAAGCCATCCCACCGCTGTCACCAAATGTGTCAGGATTACAGAATGATCCAGCACGTAGAATTGTATAGCACAGAGGACTGATAGGTAACGTATACCGGACCTTAGAATGGCCGGACTAACGTACCAAAGAATAGTCAGGAATAGCCGAGGTCAAGGGAAACAGAAAGAGACACAACGATAAGGAAAAGCCAGGAGTCAGGGATGCCAGAAAACAGGGAAGTCAAAAACATTGCCAAAGTCAAATAACCAGAATTACCAGAATCAATAACGCGCTCTCGGACAACCACAAGGGAAACCACGACAGGGCACTGAGCAGTATGAGAACTGGGCCTAAATACCCCTCCTCTAGATGTGATAGGCTGTAACTGGCCTTTGACCCCAAAGGCAGTTACCAGGTTACTATTTGCATAATTGCTGCTCAGCATTAACCCTTCTGTGGATTTGGTTGCTGCTCGGCACAACTTTTCCTGTGTGGACAGTAAATGTCATTAACCACATTTTTATAAGCAGATGAATACGTGACATTACCCCCCACCTGAAGAACGCCCACGGTGGGCAGGACCAGGCTTGAGAGGAAATTTGCTGTGAAAATAGCGATTCTTGCGGCCAGCATGTATATAAGATGCTGGAACCCAAGAACGATCGGCTGGTCCATAACCTTTCCAATCCACCTAGTACTGTAAAGTGCCCTGAGAAAACCTGGAATCAATTATAGAGATGACCTCATACTCTTCCTGTCCAGAAACAACCAAGGGGGAAGGAGGGACACTTGAGACAGTATATTTATTGCAAACAAGAGGTTTGAGCAAGGACACATGAAAGGAATTAGGAATTTTCAAGGAGGCCGGAAGGGCCGGAGTACGCAACAGGATTGATCTTACGAAGGACACGAAAAGGTCCAAGGAACCTAAGAGCAAATTTCATGCTAGGGACTTTGAGCCTGATGTTACGAGAAGATAACCAAATCCTCTTACCCACTTGGTAAACAGGGTTGGCACCTCGACGTGTATCAGCAAAATGCTTGAAACGGTCAGCAGCAGTATCCAGACCAGATTGAACTTTAACCCAGGTATCACGGATGGAAGCCAGATGGTCATCCAAAGCAGGAATAGCCATATCAGAAAAAACAGCCGGTAGGACAGTAGGATGCCGGCCATTATTAACAAAAAATGGACTATGCCCAGAGGAGTCATGGTCAACATTGTTCCTGGCAAACTCGGCCCATGGTAATAATTCGGACCAATTGTCTTGAGTGCTATTAAAGAAACAACGCAAGTATAACTCCAAAGACTGGTTAGCCCTATCAGCTGTACCATTAGTCTGGGGGTGGTAAGAGGATGAAAAAACAATTCAATCCCCAATTGCTTTTTGAAAGCCCTCCAAAACCGGGATACAAACTGAGAACCTCTATCAGATAAAATATTGTGAGGAATGCCATGCAGACAGACAATCTCACATATAAAGATCAGTACCAGGTCTTGAGATGACGGTAATTTCTTGAGAGGGATGAAGTGAGCCATTTTGGAAAAATGGTCAACAACCATGAGAATAGTGGTATAACCATTAGAACTAGGAAGTTCTACAATGAAATCCATAGTCAAGTGGGACCATGGGACCTCAGGAACGGGAAGAGGTTGTAACAAGCCACAAGGGAGTTTATGAGGTACTTTGGAAACTGCACAAACAGAACAAGCCTGCACATACTCCTTAACATCCTTCCTGAGGGAATCCCACCAGAATGACCTCATGATAGCAGAAGTGGATTTATTAATACCTGGGTGACCAGCAGACACATTGTCGTGAAACACCTTCATTATATTAACCCTATACATTAACATGTATAGCTTGGAGGAAAGACGAGACGGGGGATATGATAGAAACATTTAAATATATAAAGGGAATCAACACAGTAAAGGAGGAGACTATATTTAAAAGAAGAAAAACTACCACAACAAGAGGACATAGTCTTAAATTAGAGGCGACAAAGGTTTAAAAATAATATCAGGAAGTATTACTTTACTGAGAGGGTAGTGGATGCATGGAATAGCCTTCCAGCTGAAGTGGTAGAGGTTTACACAGTAAAGGAGTTTAAGCATGCGTGGGATAGGCATAAGGCTATCCTAACTATAAGATAAGACTAGGGACTAATTAAAGTATTTAGAAAATTGGGCAGACTAGATGTGCCGAATGGTTCTTATCTGCCGTCACATTCTATGTTTCTATGTTTCCCCCAATGGAACGAACAATTTGTCCTGAGGTTTACCGCAGGACATCTGAGACTGAGCCTCCATGATGGAGCCAAGCAGTGGAGAGGACAATGAAAGGATAGTGGAAGCAATGATACATTCCGGGGGAATGATATGGAACTTTTCTTGCTCTTGTATAGACTCAGTATCAAACTGTCTGGATAAGGCATCAGCCTTTACATTTTTAGAACCAGGTCTATAAGTAATAAGAAATTTAAAGTGAAATGGTTGAGATCTGTGTTGGTTGACAGGTGGGAGGGGGTGAAAGAATGAGGGTCTGTAGTGTGGAGAGCAGGACCACTGCAGATAATCTTCATGTTCTGTCAGGGGGCTGTCAACAGGTCATCGTGTTACAAGTGACAAATAGCTTAGGTATGCCTCTAGTCCTTCTAGGGTACCTATAAGTGGAGAAGTGTAGTGCTCAATATAAAAAAAAAATCAGGTTGGAACTACAAATACACAGAGAAAAAAGGGAATTGGAGGACACACCATACATCGCTTGAAAACATGGTTACTGTGATTCTTTATCTCAAGGATAGGCAACCTTCAGCACTCGAGACATTGAGGACTACATCTCCCCTAATTCTTTGACAGCATTATGGCTGTAAGGGCATTATGGGAGATCTCTACAACATCTGGAGGTCAGACACTTGCCACTCTGTTTTATGTTTATGCAAATTGTACAATATAGGTGGATGTCCTGCAAGTGCATGTCCTGTGTAGGGCTTCTGTTTTAGGGACATCACTGGAAACCAAGGACATCATAAGTTCTAGAATGTTTACCAAGTTGCAGCTCTTGGCTCCTTCTTAGTGATTTATATAGGCTACTTTTGTAGTGGTGTCCACCTGTACTTTCACCCATTTCTGATACAGAAGTTCTGGGACCCCTGAAGGGTCCGAACCAGAACGCGGCTGGCGCATCGTCGGACCCGAACTTTCTGCATCCAGTGGGCGCGTGAGTAAGGCCTGGGAGATGGTCTGAGAGAGGGCAGAGGACATAGAGCTCATAGCTGCCATAATGGCATCAGTGACTGAGCGTTGCTCACGAATGGAAACTCCTGGCTCATAGGAGCGATTGTTCCCCGTGTTTGTGGGAAAAAAACTACCGAACAGCGCTCTCCTAGCTGTTCGGCAACAAAAGGAAGCAGGCGTTCGTATGTTTCAGCAGTATTCGGGGAGGCGAGTGTCGGATTTTAGTTCCAGAGACTCGACGACCAAGTCCCGCTGCCTCCTTTCGTGCAAACAAGATGGCCGCCATTTTCTCTTCCATGTGGCATTCGACTATACGAACGGCGGACGTCCAGAGAGCGCTTAATAGACGGTTCCCTTTGAAGATAATGATCCAGGAGGGTGGTCGGTGTTCAGGAGTTTAAACTAAATACAGCAGACAATCACGAATTAAAGAAGAAAATACAGAAAATGAGTCTATTTTCTTCACATAGTGTAACACTGTTATTTATTCACCGAAAAAACACACAGACGTCTTGTAGATTCCATCTTAAAAACATAGCACACCAAGGGGTGTTAGGGATACCCCGAGCATTGGTTAGGGCAATTACGAGACACTCTAACACGGAGCTCTGGTCCGGCAAACTTGAGGCCTAGCGTGGTTTCGGCTGGGAGTGATGGCTGACCTCCCTAGCAGAGACGTGCAGGATGAATTGCAGCAGAATCTTGTACCCCCCCTTTGGACCGTTGGGGGTTATCCCAGTCCCCACCTCTACTGCTGCCGAAACTCACAAGCACTTAGGCTTACCTACCACAGTAGTTCATCTCCACAACCACACAGCGATTGCCAAACGGTGGGGAGCAAGATGGTGAATGCACTTGTATCGGAGACACGAGGCCAGGCACCATACCAAACTGACTCACCTGAAATAAGCGGCACTCTCTTGGACTGTCTGGAGGCAGTCTTCAACCACTGGTGGGCTGTCTTGAAGGAGAAGACAAAGCAAGCGACATCAGATGTGGTCCCCCAGGCAGAAACAAAACAGCATCACGATGTGAGACCTGGGAAGTCCCTCACAGGTGAACCAATGCCGAAACCGACTACATACCTCACTCCATGCTTTCCTGGGACTAAGGCCACCGGGCAACCGACCCCTAAGCACTGGCCACGCAGGCAGAAAAGCAAGATGTACAGAGCCTCCTGCATTATTCCGAATGGGAAGGACTTCCAGGAGGACCCGAGTTCGACGCATCATGGTGCCGGCTCCCATGCAGTCCTTGGGTAGGTGGGATTCCTAGCTACGCCTCAGCAGTGCCATTTACCTTTGTGAACTGTATATTAGTGGATGCAGTATGTAGGGAAATGGAGCAAAAAAGTTCAGATTGGAGTTGGACTCTCACCTGTGGCCCGCATGTGGCATTGGGTGACACAGCATGGTGGTTTTTCTTTGTTGAGATGATATCATCCTGTTTAAATATGCTCTCTATGCCTTTTTTCTTTACCTCTTATTTCACAGGATGTAAGGTAGAACTGTGTTCAACATATGTTTTCCTTTTTTGTCCCTCATTTTATTACCTCTCCTGCATGTGGTTTCTTAGGAAAAAAATATATAAAAAATGAGGTAGAAGAAAAATACTACTGCCTATTCAGTGATGCCTGTATCATACATGTATATTATGCCAGCTTCTGCCTCTACGTAGGCGACTTTAAACTAGCCAAGCATGGTCAGACTGATTATTAGTATTTAGTATTATCATACGTCTTATTTTACTGAAGCTATGAAAGTCTCTGTTAAGGGTGCCCGCTCCACTTAAGACAAGAATATTGGTTCCACTATTATTTTAATTTTAGTATCTGATGCCTACATCTCAATCTCAACCAGATTTTATGATAATTGACCTCTAGCTGTACCATATTAAATTTTTCTGTAGCTAGCATAAAATTATTAAGCCTGTACGCAAAAACAAAAAATGCACAATTATCTATGCCTCTGTTTAGCCTGTATATATACATGTACGCTGTTGTGGCGTTTGTCTATGTTTTTGTACTCAACTGCGCAACAAAAATAAAGAATTTTTAAAAATTCAGCCCAGCGGGAGTGGCGCCTTAAGGACTACATAGTGCCAGGAAAAACAAGTTTGTTTTCCTGGCACTATAGTGGTCCTTTAAGTGTCTGGTCCCCCTTCCAGTGCATGAAAAACATGAGTTTTACTTACTGTCCTCACTTGTTGTGCAGCTTTCTCCACAACCACCCCACTTTCTTGGATAGGATCAACAATCTTGATTCCTTATCGGAAAGGAATGGGAAGCTAGTGCACATACATGGCAAATCATTATGCTGCGCACTAATCAAATGCTGCTCTTGGAGTAACATGTGCTTTAAAAACCAAGTGGCACAGAAGCACCTCTAGTGGCTGTCAGGAAGACAGCCACCAGAGGATTGCTTAATCCTGCCATGCAATTATTGCAGTTTCTACAAATCTGTGATTATTTACATTCATGTGAGAAAACTACAGAGCCACTGCACCCAAACCACTTCATTGTGATATAGTGTTAAATATTTAATTTGCAAATAAATAAGAAAGCAAAAAGAAACTAATTTGGAGGGCCTCTATAAATAATTTTTAGCAGGGGTTAAAAAAAAAAATCAACTCTGGTATTTTTAATTCTTGTGAATTTTAGTACTCATTGTACCTATTGTATGATATAAATTATCAGGAGAATCATCAAATCATATTGACTATATACAAACTATATTGATTTTCATTTACGTAACCTGTTTATGGTCATGTTAAATCTTGATAACTTATTGGATAGGTGTTTCTTTCTTTGCAATGTCAACCACGCTTTAACAAATAATTATTTTGTCACCATCTTTTGGTTGCAAGTTTCTGATCCTTGTTGAGATCAGGTTATCATTTTGAAGCTTCTTGGGGGATCAGAGCTAAGTATACAAATAAATATTTTAAGTTGGCATTACACGTGAGCCAAATTTTCATTTTAAAGATAAAGCTTGAAGTTCATTGTCACTTAGAAAAGTATTTAATCTAAGTAATTAGTTTAATTTATATTATTCAAAATCTCAATTAAAAGAGCTGGTATAAAAATCTGAAACAAAGTTTAATTGAAGTGTAAGACTTAGATCCATGTCCTGTTCTTAAGGAAATCTTAATTTAAAGTCAAATGGGCTAATCATGAGAAAATAAGCAGTGAGTTTTGTACTTTTAATATCAGGGACATGCCATTGTTTTAGTGCATGGCATACCGGCCAACTGTCATGGAATGTATAAGGCTGCCTTGATATGGGTTATGTGGTTCCATATCCCAGGTTACTTGGTCTGTGTTCCATTCATTGGAGACACTAAAACCAATCTCTGACATCTCAGAACTTCTACCAATTGGCTTTTGCAAAATGCTGAATGCAACGTAATGTGTATTGGACAGTGGACAGTAACAATGTTTCCATCTTATCATTTAGGTCTTAACACGTCTTTGGTGATCAACTCATGATTCTAAAAAAATATATTCAACTGATGCCCTCTAGTGCTTTTTGTTGGTGTTTTATTTAAAGAAAATATTCTGATTCATTGTGACAGGATGAAGATATATATTAGAGACCATTGTGTGAATTTTAGGATGAGAAAATAAATATTCCTTAAACGTTTGTGTGTTATTTATTCTGATATTGTGGCGATCATTGATTACTTGTCATTTATCTTACTGACATCATTACCTGTGAAATAAATCATCTTTTTTTCTTCAAACCTACTCAATCAGAAGGAATTATTTTAAATAAAAAAATGGACACTTCTAAAGTCCATAGAAGGGAACTAGAGTGTCTACTATGTGTTGAATTGAAAAGTTGAAGGGGTCTCTGGTTATTAAATGTTATATTACTCAGACCATGTCTGTGACCAAAAAGTCCATAGAAGGGAACTAGGGTGTCTACTATGTGTTGAATTGAAAAGTTGAAGGGGTCTCTGGTTATTAAATGTTATATTACTCAGACCATGTCTGTGACCAAAAAGGTAATGCAAAATGAAGATGCCACTTCAAGGTGTATCATGGCTTATCACGTTACTTTTATGTCTAATGTTGTTATTTTTAAATAATTTTAAATAAAAACAGGTAAGTAGAAAATAAGCAGTGTTACAAAACAAGGTTCTGCTGCATAGTGAGCAAAAGTATGGGTTCTAACAGAGCCATAAAAAAACAAAAAACAAAACAAGCCTAAACAAAAATAATTAGCTCATTTAGTCAATATATAAAATATACAATATAAAAGCTAACCAATGGAAAATAAATATATTGATATACAGATATTTGACGAATAAGGAAGAACATATATATTTAAAGATATAGATAGATAAATAGATAGATAGATAGATAGATAGATTTAAAGCGTTATTACAGAGTTGTTTTTTGTTAAAGTAACCCTTGAACTGCTGGTGTGCCCCCGAAACGTACAAAAAAAACCCCAAAAAACAGCTAAAACATACCTTACTTTTCAATGCACAGGCCAAATTTCCACTCAGCCCAATCTTCCTCTGCTGATGTCACTCACCTTGCCAGAGCGGAAGGGAGGACGGACTGAGGGGAGAACAAGGGCAGCATGGAAGGAGGGGCATGCTGTCATTGGCTGCCATGATGCCAGCATGCTGTGAGTGCTGGAGTCAGAAACCAATTTTGCACAGAATTAACGTGAGCCACCTGGAACTCAAGTTCCATGCTAGCCAATGAGACCCATATGATGCTGCTGGAGGTGGAGTTACACATCTGGCAGGCAAAAAGGTTAATCTCTGTAAGTGCAGTTGAAAAGCAGATCCCAGGCACCATGACCACTTTAAATAAATGAAGTGATCATGGCACTTGGAGTAACCCTTTAATCAATACATATTGAATGAATAAACAACAACAATATTGTAAAATATTACAGTGAGTCATAAAATGACGTAACAATCTGCTCTTTTGTTTGATTTGCTCATTGCAAACAGCTGAAAGTCCGTAAATTTTGACAATAAACCCGATTTTCAATGGTTGAATAGTTTTGATTACAACTGTATCTTCTATTGCTTCTACACTGAAGAAATAAAAACATTAAGATCATTGTTAATGTTTTATTTTATTAGTTTTATGTTTTATTTACAATATATTCCTTTCAAATATGCATGTATAGACAAGGATGTCTACATGTAGACTTATTATGACTATATGATCTTTGGTTTTCAGTAACCATGTTTTCAAATGATCTATAAAGGAAACAACAGAGAACAAATATTAGTTAATTGACTATACAAGTTAATGCATTAACCTGAGAAATATAAGTTGGAACATCTACCCCAAACAGAACAATGAAACATGTCATTTACATTCAGAACTAGTCCACTGAATGGCTGTCACTTAGAATTTTAACGTCATTCAAACCTTTAATAGGTTATCTGTTCTTTCAGCTGTCAGTAACTGTTACTATAGCAAACATCATCTTCCTTCCTTCCAATAAAAGTATCACCGAGACATGGACCCTCTACTATTTAATTTCCTTATCTATTGTACTATTTGTTAAATGCAAACTGTTCACTTTGAAACTATAGGGACTCTGTCAAACGTAACATTTCTTTTACAGTGAACGTAGAGAATAAAAAATGCTGAAAAATAATCTATACATTGTATTAGCAGAATTGCACGCAAAGGCATAAAATATATTTTAAACATGTCTGTGGAGTCTCCTGCTTTTGACATCACCTGTGGCTTGATATGCAGATAAACTACTTTTATTATGTGTAAAGAAATTGTAATTTGAATATCAAGCCTTAAAATGATGTCATAAGCAGAATACACTGCAGAAAATGTTTTTCATTTATTTTATGCCTTTGCTTGCCATATTGCTAATATAGATCACTTTTTATATATTTTTTTTTATTCTCTACATTCACAGTATGAACAATGTTTAGGTTGACAGAATCCCTTTAAATGTCTCTCTTTAACATGCCTAGATCTCTTATAAAAAATAAATCACCAAATGCATAAAGCCTATTTAAAACTAAATTGGCCAGACTAGATGGGTCAACACACATTCTATGTTTCTATGTCTAGTAATCCTATATCCACCATACAGGACTACTAACTCTCCTGTTTATCTATTCCATCAGATTGCCTGATTCAGAAGATATTACACAGAGGGATTTCTGTGCAGAGTCCTCATCAACCTATTGTTCCTGTAACATTTTGCAATTGTCTCATTTAATGTTAAATTCCCCCCTATTATAATATTGTACACTGCTGGGG